TTTCAGGCAGTTGGAGCTATTACAGGATTTGCAAGAGGTAAATTCTCATTCACATATCTAGGGTGTCCTAGTTTTTACACTAGAAGGAGGAAGGACTATTATGAGGATCTTATCAAGAAGGTGAAGGCTAAATTTCATTCATGGAAAGGAAAACTGCTGTCATTTGGAGGAAAGGCAACACTCATCTCTAGTGTGTTGTAAAGTATGCCAGTTCACATGTTATCAGTCCTTGATCCACCAAACAACATCCTGGGGCATCTACATAAGACTTTTGCTAGGTTCTTTTGGAGCACAAAGGAAGAAGGGAGAAGCAGACACTGGGCTTCATGGCAAAATCTTTGCCTTCCTAAAGAGGAAGAGGGGCTTGGTTTTAGGTCCTTAAATGATGTCTCAAGGGCACTGTTTGCTAAACTATGGTGGAGGTTTAGGAATACAAAATCTTTGTGGTCTAATTTCATGTGGAATAAGTATTGCAAGAAGGAGCCACCAAATGTGGTGCATTTTAGGGGAGGGTCTCAAGAAGGTGAGGCTAAATTGCATTCATGGAAAGGAAAACTGCTGTCATTTGGAGGAAAGGCAACACTCATCTCTAGTGTGTTGCAAAGTATGACAGTTCACATGTTATCAGTCCTTGATCTACCAAACAACATCCTGGGGCATCTACATAAGACTTTTGCTAGTTTCTTTTGGAGCACAAAGGAAGAAAGGAGAAGCAGACACTGGGCTTCATGGCAAAATCTTTGCCTTCCTAAAGAGGAAGAGGGGCTTGGTTTTAGGTCATTAAATGATGTATCAAGGGCACTGTTTGCTAAACTATGGTGGAGGTTTAGGAACACAAAATCTTTGTGGTCTAATTTCATGTGGAATAAGTATTGCAAGAAGGAGCCACCAAATGTGGTGCATTTTAGGGGAGGGTCTCATGTTTGGAGACAAATGCTGAATGCTAGGGAAGAAGTAGAGCATGAGATCGTATGGGAATTGAAGAGTGGAACAACTAATATTTGGCATGAAAATTGGACTGGATTGGGTGCACTTTATCATGTATTACCTGAAGACTTTCCAATCAATGAAGGTTTTCAGGAGGTGGCAGAACTGCGGCAAGGGGAAACATGGGATGATCAGTTGCTAGATCAAACTTTCAATGAGGAAATTGCAGAACATATAAGGTTAAATGTGCACTATGAAGGCAGTGAGGGTTATTGGGATAAGCCATACTGAATGCCAACTCCTTTAGGCAAGTTCAGTGTTACCAGTGCTTGGCAAATATTAAGGCATATGGCAGATCCTAATCTGGAATTCAAGTTAATGTGGATTAAAGGTTTTCCATTCACGATATCCTTCTTCTTGTGGAGATTGTGGAGGCAAAAAATAGCCACCGATGACATGTGGAGGAGGCAAGGGCAAATGGTGATGTCTAGGTGTTAGTGTTGTCAGCAGCCCCAAGAGGAATCCATTGAGCATATATTTGTCACAAGTCCTACTGCCTCTAAGGTATCGAACTTGTTCATGGGGGCTGCTGGAATTTTTGTGCAATTGATTCAATTGAAGCAGAATATAAGGCATTGGTGGTATGCTCAATGTTGTCCGAAATTAAAGCCACTATTTCAAGTAGTACCAGCTATCATCACTTGGGAGCTGTGGAAGAAAAGAAATACAGGTAAACATTGTGGTTCAATGTCCACAAATAGGGTGATTCATGAGATAAATAGGACATTGCATCAACTGGCAAGGGTGAGGTATGCTTGGATCCCTAATATTCCATTGTTATGGCTAGACATGATTCAATACTTTGAAGGATATAAGCCTATATTGATCACTACAAGAGTAACATGGCAGCTTCCTTGTCATGGTTGGTACAAATGTAATACTGATGGAGCTTCAAAGGGCAATCCTGGACCTAGCTCCCTAGGCTTTTGTGTGAGAGATGATGAAGGTGATGTGGTGTATGCTAGGGCAGTAGACCTGGGAGTGACAACTAATGTGGTGGCTGAAGCTAAGGCTATTCTTCAAGGGTTGGAATATTGTGTGGAGCATGATTTTCACCCTCTCATACTCGACACTGATTCATTGGTGATGAAGAAGGCGATAGAAGGGGAATGAGATCCTCCTTGGGTAATTGCATAGGATGAGAAGAAAATTATAGAGATGAAGGACAACTTCAATGTGATCTTTCAACATGTGTTCAGAGAAGGCAACTCAGTGGCGGATTTTATAGCTAACATTGTGTTCTCTTTTGTAGGTACATCTGAGTTTCATTCATTCTCTTAACTGCCTAGTGCAGGGAGGAGGTTGATCAATCTAGACAAATCTCAATCACCTAACCTTAGGATTAGGATAGCAAAGAGAAGAACCCCATACTGATGGCTTCACAAGATTGGACTCTGCACAAACTAATATGTCCAAATGCTAAGGAAAATGCTGAACCCATCATATGGAATTTTTGGAGATTGTTGAATCATTTCTTAGTGGTATTAGCATGCTTTCAAGCTCAATCTGAGGATGGTTTAGCAATGTTTTGAATGATGTCTACATTAAAGGTTCTAGTAGGGAAAGATCTGACCTTGGCAAAGTAAGTACGATCATTAGAGACCGGGTGGTTTTTCTTTCGAGACTTAATATTCCGGAGTGGAAGTTGGAGCATATCACTATGGAATTTCTAGTTGGAATCGCACGGACCTTGAGGAGATTCGACGTTGTGTGGGTCATTGTGGACAGACTGACCAAGTCTGCACACTTCATTCCGATCATGACTACCTACTCTTCAGAGAGCAACTGGCTCAGATTTATCTTCGTGAGATTGTTCGCCTTCATGGTATATTAGTTTCCATTATCTCAGATCGAGGCACGTAGTTCACATCGCATCTTTGGAGAGTCTTGCAACATGAGTTAGGCACATAGGTCAAGATGAGTACGACATTTCACCCACAGATAGTCGGGCAGTCTAAGTGCACTATTCAGATCTTGGAGGACATGTTACGTACCTATGTTATTGATTTCGAGGGCTCATGGGGTTAGTTTCTACCACTAGCAGAGTTCGCCTACAATAACAAATATCAGTCGAGCATCCAGATGGTTCCTTATGAGGCCTTATATGGGAGGTGATGTCGTTCTCCAGTGGGTTGGTTTGAGCCTGGGGACGCTAGGTTGTTGGGCACTGATTTGGTTCGAGATGCCTTCAAGAAGGTGAAGTTGATTCAGGAGAAAATTCGTACAACACAGTCCAGGCAAAAGCGTTATACGGATAGGAGGGCTCGTGATGTGGCATTCATGATGGGTAAGAGGGTTCTACTCAAAGTTTCACCCATGAAGGGTGTGACGAGGTTCGAGAATAAAAGCAAGTTGAACCCTCGATATATTGGTCATTTTGAGGTTCTTGAGAGAGTTGGTAAGGTGGCCTACAAACTTGCATTGCCGCCAGCTTATCGGGAGTTCACATGGTGTTCCATGTTTCCATTCTCCGGAAGTAATATGGTGATTCTTCACGTGTCAGATTTCAGTTCAGTACAATTAGATAAGAATTTGACTTATAATGAGGAGTAGTGGCTATTTTTGACAGACAGGTCTAGAAGTTGAGGTCGAAAAACATTACATCGGTGAAGGTTCAATGGAGTGGTCAATCGGTCGAGGAGGCAACTTGGGAGACCGAGCATGATATGTGTAGCCATTATACTCATCTTTTTGGCACTTCAGGTATGCCTCTTTATTCGTTCGAGGACTAACATTTATTTAAGAGTGGGAGAATGTGACGACTCGACCGGTTATTTTGTGCATTTGAGCATATTTTCCCTTCTGAAGCTTTCAGTATGTGTATTTGAGGTTTTATGACTTGTGGGGATGGTTGATTTAATTTCGGTGAGGTTTTAGAATGAATTGGATCAATTGGTTCTTAGTTTGGAAGCTTAAGTTGGAAATGTTGACCGAAGTTTGAGTTTTGTGAAAACGACTTCGGAACGGTATTTTTATGATTGCAATTGGTTCGTATGGTGATTTTAGACTTTGAGCATGTGTCCTAAATTGAATTTGGAGGTTCCTAGTTTGATTTGGCTCTTTATATTGAAAATTGGAAACTTAGAGGCTTAGAGATTTTCTAAGTTTGACCATAGGCTGACTTTATGTCTATCGGGTTCGCATTTTGGTTTTAGGACTTGGAATAGGTCTGTTTTGTCATTTGGGACTTATGTGAAAAGCTTGGTATCATTCCAAGTTGGTTTGGTAGAAAATAAATGTTTGATTGTGATTTTATTAATTCTTGAGTTTCATTGTAATTTTTATGTGTTTTGGTGTCCGATTCATGGTTTTAGATGTTATTTTGATGTTTTGAGTGAGCGAGTGAGTTCGTATGATGTTGTAAGACTTGTGTGAAAGTTTGGAGTTGAGCCTTGGGGCTTAGGGTGAGTTTCAGATGTGTTTCAAATTGGTTTGGACTTGTTTTAGGTTGTTGTAAGTTGCTGCTGCAGTAATCACAATTGCAAGCACCAGCATCGCAGTTGCGAAGTGGACAGGGAGGCTTCAAGTGTCGCAAATTTGATGCCTTTATTTCAATTGTGAAGAAGATAGTGGACATGGACAGGTCGCATTTGAGACCACTTGGTCGCTTTTGCGGACATGCTGCAATCGCAATTGCGAAGCCCATATCGGAATTGTGACATTTGTGTGGGTTGTCAGGGTTCTCATTAGTAATCCCTGTGTCGCATTTGCGAACCCCAGGTCGCATTTGCGACATCTGTAGCTGGACAAAAGGTTGGGATTTCGATACTTAGCCTCATTTATCACATTTTATAGCCCTAGACTCGATGAGACGCGATTTTAGGAAGACATTTTCATACAAAACTATTGGGTAAGTGATTTTAAATCATTTTTGATTATATAACATGATTATTTATGAGTTTTAACATCTAAATCATGAGATTTAAAGAGAAGTGTTGGAGATTTTTTACTAGGTTTTGAAAATGAAAATTTGAGATTTTAGAGTCGAATTGGACTCGAATTTGAAAACCAAACACATATATGGACGGTTATGGGTAGTCGATATCTACCGTTCGACTCGGGTATTGACCGGGGGGGTTGACTTTTGTTGACTTTTGGGGAGTTGTGTAAAGATCTTAACTTTATTAATTGAAATTGATTTCTCTTGCATTGTTTTATATTATTAAGTCATTTTTGGCTAGATTTGAGCCGAGCGTAGGTGAATTTTAAAGAAAAAGCTATTTTGGGTGTTGAATTGGCCTAATTGAGGTAAGTATCTTGCCTAACTTTGTGTTGGAGAAATTACCCTTAGAATTTGGTCTATTTGTTATATTTTTATTATGTGTAACGACGTGTACATGAGGTGGCGAGTGTTTACACGAGCGTATGGGTGGAAATTGACCGGATTAGACCTTAGGCTATTCATATGCCTTGAATCGAAATTTGTTTATTATTTGAAGCACTTTTATTGTTTATTTACTCCCCGTATTCCTATGTTATTGTTGCGATTCTTGTACTTATTGTTGTTGAGATATGGGCTATATGTTGTTGTTGCTTTGGTATTGTTGTTTGGGTGATGTTGTGGTATATGTGCACGTGTGGTGTGAGTTGATTGTTGTGTTGTGATGAGATGTGCATGTGACGGCATAAGGTGGTGTTATGTATGCGCATGTGGCGATTTAAGGGGGATTATGTGTGTGTTGCTAGTAAGGGAAAATACTTCATTATGATGCACATGGAGCGAAATAAGGGGGCTTATGCACGTGAAGCTAATTTGGAAAATGCAATGTGAAGCTCATGCGGTGTCATAAGGGTGACTTGTGATTTGAGATTATGATGTGTTGTACGTCGAGATGATTCTTGTTGTCAATCTTGAATTGGAACGACTTGATGATTTGAGTATGTCATTGTTTGCCTTAATTTGATTTCACTTTGTGTTTTACTCGTTTTAGTTAATTTGTCGTGTTATCACATGCTTACTCTTTGTTTCCATTTATTGATTATGATTTCCATTATTAATTCTATATTGATATCCTGTACATGTTATATGTCTAGTGAGTTTCTTGACTTGAACCTCGTTACTATTCTATCGAGGTTAGTCTTGATACATGGTACCGATTTTAGTATACTTATGTTTTAGCAGAATCCACTAGGCATGCTTCTTAGGGCTAGTTTTTATACATATATGAAAAATAAAAAACATAGTACCATGAGGTCTTACAAAATGAAAGGTAATAAGCTTTGTAGAATACATAATACCTATTACCAATTTTGAGCGAGTGGTGCTCAAAATTAGTAGCACATTTTATCCTATGAATGAATGCAACTATTGAGCTACTAAAGTAGTAAAAATGATGAATAAAAACTAGATATGTAAGGTCGCTATGCTTGCGAGTCCATACAGTCCAAGGTGCGCAAATCCTCATTAAGGTGCGAGGCTTCCTTACTACCCACATTTGCGCAAAACTGGGCAATATATTCAAATTCATTTTCCATCCTGTTTGAGTGACGTATTTGTGCAATAATCCCATTCAATCAATACCAACAACAATAGCAGTGGCATACGCTAATTCCAGTTGTCCAGCAACCTGAAGCACTAATGAACACACATTATTGATAAAAAATTAAGTGTGACATGCAGGTGTAATCTGTTGATTTTGATACATAAATCCAATTTCAAGAAAGTGTATTACTAATATACATTGGGTTGTCAATCCACAATGCATCCAGTTACCTCATTACTCCTCGCAAAAACCTGTACACCAAGAGATGACCATGACCAAAAGACTGGACAATAATCCATTCTTGCGTTCCAGATATGCGAGAGTGGACGTAAGTACACTGTTCCATGATGGAAACAGTATCAATACAAAACAAGTTCAGTTGTTGTCGTGTATAGTAGGCCCAACTAAAACAACCAATCTTTAGCATCACCATTGTGATCTTTGCTTCTAATACCACCCATTAAAGTTGTATCTAGAGTCAAGGCATGAAGACATTAGCTTTTCCTGCAAAAAAGAACACGAAGTTAGTAAAAACCAAATCTACCATGCTCTCCTCCATAAGGATTTGAACAAGGTGGAAACATGTAGTAACCGTCATCTCCTCCTCCATTGCGCTCTTCATCTCATCCC